TTAAACTGAAGGTTCAGTAACCTCCGTGGAAAGAGTAAAAATGGTTAAAATGTGCAAAAAGGGCCGGGGATAAAAACCTCTCTGAATTTTCTCCCCTGCAAAGCCTTTGTCCTCTGCAAGAGTCTTTCTCCCTGCAGAACTACAGCCCTACGAGCGTGTCTTACAGCGCCTGCCCCAGCGCTCCCATCCCACGCGTGCCTCCAACACGTATCTCCAGCCCACACCAGGAGCACGTGGGCGCTTGTGTCCCACACCTCTTGCAGCACTGGGACTGGGAGGGTGAAGGCAGCCGGCTCGGCTTCCTAGATCGCACCGAGGTTTTACACTAGCCTGGTGAACCCTCAGCCCCACAGCCTTCAGAAGAGAAATCCCAGCCTGCTTTCTGGCTCTCCCACCTTCACACCTGTTGGATCTACCGCTGGTCTGGCGTTTGCTTTGGGTTTGCTCAGGACAGAGGCAGCTACAAGCTGAACACAGCTGCTACAGCAGGTTTTCCATGCAGAGAAACTCAACAAAGCAATCTGTGAGCTGGGGATGGAGATGAAGGTGACAAAAAACAGAAGAGCTGTTGTGAAGAGAGCTTGTCCAAGTTTTCCAGCTCTCTCCATGCATCTGTATTACATCTCCCAACAAACTCTGCATCTCTCAAATCACGCTGGCTCGAGGAAGGTGGGTAACAAATGGAGTCACAGCTTTTTTGGGGTGCAGAAGTAAGAAGGGAGCCTGGGTGGAAAGCAGTGCTTCCTGGTGAGCTCACCTGGATGGGCAACTAGGGGAGAAACGCTGCTCCAGGAGGCTAAGCATCTCGGCAGGTAATAGGACTCACCTCAGCATGGCCTCTCCATGGCCTTTTTTTCTCCTGGTGCCTGCTGTGCTCGTTTCCAGCGACACAACGGTCACATTTTAATGAGGCTTCTTTTGTACCTTCCACTCCCTGATGCAGTCCCACCACCTCTATCCCATTTGTTACTAAGGAAATGGCTCCACAGACCAGGCACAACCAGTGAGGCAGGCTTTTTTCCGTGAGCAAATCCATCTTTTGCTGGAGCAGCTTTTTACAGAAAGAGAAAGGCTCTGAGCCACCACCAATGGCAAATGAGCCTGGAAAGTAATGGGAAGAGCTTGTCTCCATAGGAAAACCAAGGAAAGCTGCAACATGTCCTACCAGAGTCCGTGCTGCTCTGTGACACGGCTTGCTGCATGGGCCACGGTGCTCTGCTCCACGTAATCCAAATTAGTCCCCAACCTTTGCCCCCCCAGCAAGATGTCAAAGCAGTGCTCAGCCAGACAGCATTTAGCTGCTGTGATCCTGGGATTGCTACCAATGTCAAGGGGAGGCTAAGGAGGGGATCTGGCTGTAAATTTTTGTAAGCAATGCACCTCAGATGGATAATACAGGGAGTTAAAATACAGATGCCAGGCCCT